ACAAAAGCAACAACCCGGACAGTCGAGATAGTTTTTTTTACCAGTGTCGCGAGTGCTGATCGAAATCCATTGATCGGAATCGCCTGCTTGAGCCCAGCGCACCAGTTCGATCAAGAACACAGATACTGTGTAAATTTGCCGCAGGTCCTGAACTGAGAAACGACGGAGAAACTCCATTTGTTCTGTCCTCTTCTCGTCCTCTCTTCTTCTTCCGCATTGAACGCTTCCAACAGTTCACGACCAGGGAAGGCTTTTGAGTACAGTGCAAGCGTATAGATCGCTCGCTGAAACCTTGAAGACTCATCGTACGTGAGCTGACTTTCCTTGAACTTCCGGTTCTTGTGTCTATTATCGAGTCAGTATCAATGTCATACGAGATTACAGGATCAGGATACATACCTCAAACTGAAGACGTCCTCTAGTACTCGAAACATTCTCGCGTTCTCCACAAGCTTGTAAATTTCTTCGTCCGTGATAGGAGCACTTTCATCAGTATCGCCTTCGTGTGTATCTTCATCTTCTGTCTCTGACTCTGCGGGGTCACGGTCTCGAATGACGCGTAGAGCTTGAGGTAGGGCTGGTCCAACGACATTTTCTGCTACAGCTCGCCGTATGGAATTGGGGTGCGCTTTGTAAACGTTGTAGAACGATTTCGTGGAAAGGATTGTCGCCTTCAGTGAGCGAAAATCAGGGAGAAGGTTGAGTATATATTTGAGGATATCGTCGTCAAGCGGAAGACTATTGAAGTATTTCATGGGGATGATAGTGGTTATGAGCTAGAATTGTGTCCGCGATATTCTGGTTCCAGTCTGTGCGACTGTGTAATGATGATCATAGACGTATACAAGACGTATACTTCGTTACATAAACCGGGTCAGGATGTTCAGGACACCAATTGTATCGAAATTCCCACGCACCACGAACCTTTCACCTCAATCACACCGTCGCTCGGAGATCGACGTTCATCATGATCACCTCCCTCCCTCGCCATCATCCTACATGTTATTGCTACTGTTGAGTCTCAAACCCACTCGTCTGCACACGGGGCAGTAATTGGACCTCCGCGCTGGGCTAAATTTTCGCGGATCGAGGATTTGCGACAAGTTTTTCCTGACCTCGGAAATGCATTGCAGACGACAGTAGATAAAGGTATCGAGTTACCGGAAACAATCTCACCAAATGAACATCCTTATTCATTCCTCGTCGGCTCACAAATGTGCTAGAGGGCGTCATATTCAGACATCCCGGCGTGAAGAGAGGAAAAGCGGGCAATTACATTCAGCTTTTTGGCGTGTGATGGACTGTGTATTTGGGTTTGGCAGTTCCACCCGTACCAACAATCTTCTGGGATCTCGTTCCCCTCTTCAACCCCATATTAGAAAGGGGCTTGCGTCTGAGGTTGCGAGAGAATAAGAAAGCTCACCCTTTATTTTCTTGTCGAGTAACCATAGATGCAGATTGTCCTCCAAGAGTTTAGTCAAACAATCGGTGCAAAGCAAGTCATCCGGTTTGCAAGCTTTGAATTCCGACGTCTTGTAGTCGCTATCGAGTATGTCTTGAACGACGTGCTTATAGATATTCTCGTCTCCTGGGATCTCTTTGACGAATCTTCGAAAGTAGGTTGTCTCGATAGGGTTTTTCGAAAGGTCCCCTTTCATTAGTACAACTAAGCCAGGCTTTATAGATCGTACGGTCTGATAGAGATATTCGTACGCTGGAGTATGGTCAGTACCGTACCGCAACACAAGATTCTGGTAGAGTAGGTGTCACCTACTCGACGGGCCCCACAGATTGAAACCTCCTTCTGTATTGCAACAAGAGCCTGGCATCGAGTTCCTCAGACTAGTTCCTAGATCACTGCGAGAAAGCATATCGCGTACATAAATCGTGTAATCCAACGACATCGTCCACTATGGATCGCCAGTGTGTGTCATCCTCGAGAGCACCCTTGAAGTTGCGTTTCTTGAGCAGCTCAGAGAGCGGGTGGGTGAGATAGCCGGCGAAGAAGGGGAGCGGTTCGTCGTCGTTGTACCAGTCGAACTCGGCCATCAGGGTTTCTATTGAACCCTCGTTGTAACATCGATATATGGTATCAGGTCCGGACGACAAAGCCATCCCTACTCTACCTGATGGTCGTAGGGAACGAATGAGTGAAAAAGTAACACCCCGAAACGAAAAACTGGGCCTTTCTTACTGGCATCATCACCGACTAATCCATATGTATCGTCGTCGCCTGTCTCAGCCCAGCGCACCACCTCAGCCAAGAGCACAGATGCAGAAAAGATTTGACGCAGTTCAAGAACTGAGAAAGGACGGAGGAACTCGAGCTGCTCTTTCCTCTTCTTGTCCTGGAGTTTCTCACTTTCTTCTTCGTCTTCTGCCGAATTGAACTCTCCCGAAAGATTTGGACCATAGAAGACTTTCGTGAACAGAGCGAGTCTATAGATTGCTCGCTGGAATCTTAGAGACTCATCGTATGTGAGCTGACTCGTCTTGGACTCCCGGTTCTTGTGTCTGTTTCCGAGTACCATTATCTGCAACACAGTTTCACGAGAGCTACAAATGCTGTACGTACCTCAAGCTAAAAACGTCCTCTAGCACTCGGAACATCCTCGCGTTCTCCACAAGCTCGGGAATTTCTTCCTCCATGATAGGAGCACTCTCATCGGCCTCAACTTCATCTTCCGTCTCTAAGTCCTTGGGATCACGATGTCTAACGAAGCGTAAGGCTTCAGGTAAGGCTGGCCCGACGACATTCTCTGCTACAGCTCGTCGGATGGAATTGGGGTGCGCTTTATAAACGTCGTAGAACGTCTTCGTGGAGAGAATGGTCGCTTTCAGTGAGTAAAAATCAGGGAGAAAGGTGAGTATATGGTTGAGAATGTCGTCGTCGAGCAGAGGAATGGTGAAGGATTTCATGGAAGTGAGGATGGTTATGGACTGAAGTTGTGTCCGATAGAGAACGGAGATTTGGATGACTGGTCAGAGATGGCGACCGCGAACTTCGAAGAGCCATGACAACCAAAAAAGAATTAAAACATATGTATAGGCTATTTCCCACTGTTTTCCCCAATCGCGGGTCTGGATTCTGCACCCTTTTCAAGATATGACCCAAACATGTATTGTAATCTACTAAGTACAAGTAGTAAGTACAAGTATAGAGATAACGAGAACAGCCTCACGCGGATTCTTATTTACCCTTCGTCGGTTCGCAAATGTGCTAGAGGGAGCAAGATTCACGTCCAAGTACCAGCGTAAGTGCGAAGAGAGAGCGCTTACATTTAGCTTGCTGGCATGTTCTCTTTTGTGGATTTGCGTGCGGCAGTCCCACCCGTACCAACAATCGCCTGGGATCTCCTCGCCATCTGTTCGGCCCCATTTCATGGTCAGGAAGCAGGCGTCTGAGGCTGTGGGGGCTAACCTTGTATCTTCTTGTCAAGTAACCACAGATGTAGATTCTCCTCCAAGAATTTAGTCAAACATTCCGTACAGAACCAGTCGTCCGGTTTCCAATCCTCGTATTCCGGTGTCTTGTAGTCGCTATCGAGGAGATCTTGAATGACGTGCTCATAGATATTCTCGTCTCTTGGAATGTTTTTGATGAGTCTTCCAAAGTAGCGTTTCTCGATGGGGTTCTTTGATAGTTCTCCTTTCAGTAGTGAAACCAAGCCAGTGCCGGGCCTCAGAGATGGCGTAGTCTGGTGAAGATATTCGTACGCTAGGGTACAGTCAGCACCATGATACAAAATGGTAGAGTACGCATCACCTACTTGATGGGCCCCACAGGTTGAAGCCTCCTTCTTGGCCGCAATGAGAACCTGACAGCGGGTTCTTTAGGTCAGATCGCAAGTAATGAGAAAGTGTGGCGCGTACATGAATCGTGTATTCCAACGATATCGTCCACTATGGACTGCCAATGTGTGGCATCCTCGAAAGTGCCTTTGAAATCGTGCTCCTTGAAGAGCTTAGACAGCGGATCGGTGATATAACCGTCGAAGAACGGGGGCGGATCGTCGTCATCGTACCAGTCGAGCTCAACCATGAGAATCTCTGTTGAGCCCTCATTGTAGCAGCGGTAGATGATCTCAGGTCCACACGACAGAGCCAACCCTGCTTTACCTGACGTTCATAGGGGACGTATGAGCTACAAAGCGAACAACAGTACAAGAAATCGTTTTCTTACCGTTACTATCAGTATCGACCGATCCATCCAAAGAGTCGCCCGCTTCAGACCAGCGTACTAGGTCGGTCAAGAACTCAGATACAGAATAGATTTGCCGTAGGTCAAGAACTGAGAAATGACGGAGGAACGCGATTTGTTCTATCCTTTTCTTGGCCTGGGGTTCCACAGTATTATCTTCGTCGCTGTCTTCGTAGAAATCTTGAAACAAGGCGAGACCAGGGAAGACTTTTGAATACAAGGCAAGCCTGTAGATCGCTCGCTGGAACCTTAGAGATTCTTCGTATGTGAGCTGGCTCTTCTTAAACTTCCGGTTCTTGTGTCTGTCTTCAGGTGTCATTATCTGCACACATATTTACAAGAGTCACAAATACGCACCTCAAGCTGAAAACGTCCTCCAGTGCTCCGAACAATCTTGCGTTCTCTACAAGCTCAGAAATTTCTCCATTCGTAATGGGAGCACTCTCATCAGTATCGCCTTCAGGCGCATCTTCATCATCGGGGTCATGATGTCGAACGACGCGTAAGGCTTCAGGTAGGGCTGGTCCGACAACGTTTTTTGCCACAGCTCGTCGTATGGAATTGGGGTGCGCATTGTAAACGTTGTAGAACGATTTCGTGGAGAGGATTGTCGCTTTCAGTGAGTCAAAATCAGGGAGATGGTTGAGTATCTGGTTGAGGATGTCATCATCGAGCGGAAGACCATTCAAGCTTTTCATGGAGATGATGGTTATGAGCTGAAGTCACTATTGTGTACGCGGTATGTGAGATTCTAGAGTGAGATGACATCAATATTCTGTCTTACGAGAGGATTAGATAGGCATTAATGGGGTAGTGGTAACCTGGGTCGTTGCCATCTGTTGTGCATAGCAATCAATTTCATGTCTCGACCCGCCGGGGGTTCGATTCCCTCTTAATGCAATGTATGTCGATATTGATATTTTTGTTCATCAAGTGACATCGACCTTGGTCCTCGACAGACCCTTCGCGACTGGTATGCACCTACACGCAATTTTGTCCAAATTTCGGCAGTAAGTTATGTATAAGGTTATAAGTGCAGAATGACCGGACGGTGTTCACAACATGCGGAAGCCACGATGTACACCACTGCTTTAACCCTCAAAAATCTCCGACCTCAGTCCTCCTGTCCACCTTGATAGAGATTCCCTCATGCTCAGACGAGCTGGCTCTTTTCAGGTCGTTCAACCGATACGAGCTAGTCACAGTCGGAGTAACGGGGTGTGCAAAGGAACGCGACGAAACAACTCCAGAGTCGCCCACCACACCACTGGAGCCTGCGGCTCCGGCACGCATGGAGTCGCGAACGTTGAGTGTGGCTAAATCATAACCGCCGGTCAGTACATGTCTCTTTTCGAGGTGCGAATTACGAACCAAGCAATGAGTTGGAATACACTAGGAGCGGCCATAGTTAGCATTTCGGTGGCGATAGAGCCGTCGAGGCTCAGTGGGACGTCAACTCACTTCGGGTTAGCATCAAATAGAATGTCAGGACCCAGTTTCCGGGAAGCGTGAGAGCCGCTACAAACACCAGGATCGCGCAGAGACTTGAAGTTGGGTGTCAGAAGTTAGCAAGTACATCAAGGGTCGATGCCAACTAGTGGCGTGGGAACTCACCCAGTGGCTGCTCCTGTTGTCACTGAATAGATTGCCTGGGGGCAGTAGGGTGGATTTAGCTGAGGCAGTCTCTAAACAGCCAGAACGTACGATTTGGCGAAGCACACGATTGGTCCTGGAGACGCGGACGGGATCAGGTAAGTTATAGCGAGGGTGCTGATTAGTATGAGAACCGTCACTTGCCTGATAATCCTCGTTTTCCTCATACCGAGGAGGACAACCATAGCGATAGCGATAATCACATCTATGCCTGCTCCCATACCGTTCACAGCGATGACAATGTTTGTCATCGTCCCCGTGAAGAGAGAGGAATCGGGATTCTGCGCCCTGTGAAGTGGCAGAGTCAACAAGTAATATCAAGCAATTGAACGCGAAGAAACCCTCACACAACCGACAACGAGTCTGCGGGGTACAATTCACGTCAATAAACTTACGACAAAACTGAGCCAGGACTCGATACATACACATTTGAAGCGCTGAAGGAAGGAATGTTAGGTTCGGGAAAGTCTTCAATAGAGGAGAATTAAAACTTACCCTCTTGACCGCAAGTGCAAATGAACTGTGGCCGCCATGACCGAATTACTGACTATATGCAATAGGTGGCGAGAGTAAACGCACGATAAACCCGGCAACGAGCCAATTCTTGTTAGAAACTGTGTACCAAATTGCGTCAGGACATAACGTAGCCTCGGGGGGTAGAGCCCAGAACTCACGCTTCCAAATCCGCCATACGTAAAAGCTGGGTGGTTTGTTATAGTCTGGACGCACATCTAACACAGCGAGGACGTACTTTTGGACGAGAAATGTGACGAATCCCTAAACTTTCATGAGTACAACCAGGGTTACCGATTTGCGGCGAGTGCCTACCGTTGGAAATGCCATTCCCTGACCATCGTGCCTCAGTCAAGGAACAACATCTGAATGGAATGGGAACACACCAGGTAACTCCTGCAAAGGGTCGTCCAGGTATGAGAATAGATAACGATGTGATCGACGAAGTCAGGACGCACGGAGGAAGTATGGTTAGTCTTTCTTCGAAGCCGAAATTCGTAACAAAGGTCATGTAGACTGGGTAGGGCGAGTTGAGTTCGGCGTCCGATGGCCAAGCCGTGAAAGGACTTACGCCAGTGGCTCGTACAGACTTGATGGATGAAGTCCAGCCCCACCACTACGGCAACCTACGCGAACGACGATTATTTCACTATCACTGACCCTGAGGAGCAGATGAGACTCACCAAGACCTTGAGACCGAGGGGATCTGAGAAATCCTGTGACTGGTTACTGTAGAAGTGCCATGCTTGTGAAAGGGTAACTGGGGGGACGAGGTAAGAACAAAAAAAATAGGGAAGGGGGCTGGTGGGAAGGCGCAGACCTCCGTGCAATCTTTGTGTATGTACGCGGTAAGGAATCAGTGTCGTGTAGATTACCCGACAGAAACAGGGTGAGGGGACTTACAGAGTACATAAAACAAGTCCTAGAACGTGGAGAAAGGATTAGACTTTACATACAGTGAATACTATAGTCCAAGCCCCACCTATATAGAGAGCACCGAATCTGTTACAACGCGTAAGGTGGATGTACGTTGTGATCGACGATTACACTTACCCGTCATCTAGCGACAACGCCATCTCGAGCGACGGTGGGGGGTGAGCTTATTGTTGGGCAGAAGGAAGTACTCCATCCACAAAACCCAATATATATAGGTATCGGTGTATCGCCCCGTTAATCGGACGCAAATTTTTCTGAGTAAGTTCGTGATCAGAAAAAAATAATCACGGCGAACCTGTATCGAAAATGGGTTAGATTCAGAGTACCAGAGCCAAGAAAAATAATACCTGCCTCCACGGTCAACGACGGCACGCTCAGACACTCCCGATAACCCGAGAGATCGGGAGCTTTGGATCCTCGTGAGGGTGACGGAGATCTGGCCAGAGTGGAAGTTGATGGATAAGGCGCTAATCAAAGAATGTCTTTGAGTCTTTTCCCTGAAGTTGATTGATATTCGATGAAACGTGGTGGTGAGTCGTCGACAGCTGAAATTCAGCTAACACCCTGTAGATACCGCTCGGAAGCGACGGTAGGCTAAGAGGCTTCCTCTTCCCAGCCCAACTCTTCATTGCTTCCGGACGCCGTTCTACGCCGTTCCATCTGGGTTTCCGTAAACGACGATGCACCACTACAATGTGGTTTTGGTGCATAGAAACATTGCCCTGAATGTAAGATGTACAACCGCGTGATGTGTAGGGTCAAAGAACAAGTGCCGATATTGTAGATCCAATGATTTCAATTGTCTGAGGCATGGGTTTCTACACAGAAAACTTGTAGAAAAGACCACTTGGCGTGATAAATACAGTTTCTCTTCGGGGTCAAGAGATAAGTTAAATTGACTACTCACCGAGAGATATCTGAAGACAAACGCCCCCCGTATTCATAGCCAGCATCAAGAAGCACATAGCAATGGAATCCCTATTCAGTGTCAGCGGAAGAGTTGTTGTGATCACCGGTGAGCCTCTGCACTTTGACGATGGCGACTGCATTGTTTAACACCACTCTTCCAATCAGGTGGCGGGTCCGGCGTAGGATCATGGCTTGCAGAAGGTTTCGTGAAGGGAGGTGCTGAAAGAGGTAAGCTTTCGGATGCTATTAAGATTGTCGTGAATGTGAATGCTGATCGTCGCACCTTCTACAGTTTATATCACGGGCCGGCGAGAGAAGAACCTCTCAGAAACTGCCAACAAGTTGAACGCCATCAAGCCCGACAGCACAAGATAGTACGTTACAGAAAGTGCCAATTGTTCGTGTCTGTCCCTAAACGTTCGTCGCCTTCAGCTGCATCGCCGACATCACCAAGAAGGAAGACTTGGATAAGCTCGTAGCACTGATCAAGCAGCACGAAACCCGCGTCGATGTCCTCATAAACAACGTATGTTGAGTTGGATCTGTCGTCACGAGAAGGAGCCTTATGAACTTCATTGTAGGGTGGTGCTGCTGCCTGGGACATTCCCAGCCCCGAGACCGACGCCAACGCTGGTCTCAGCACTGAGAGTTCCTTCAGGCTGCTCAGATCTGAAGATGCAACCCAATGGGACGACCAATTCCGAGTATTCTCCTGGTCTCCGTACACCCTCACCCTCATGCTGCTCCCTCTCCTCGCAGAGGCAGCCAAGCTCGGGGAAGGTCGTGGCTCGGTTATCATGGTCTCTAGCATAGCAGCTCGATTCTGGAACCCACACTGGGGCATAGCCGGTAAGCAACTGTTCCAAGGCCGGTTTTCACGAATGGTCACTCACCGGCGTGTTTCCGTTCGACGCGACTTCAGCTTACTCCGCAGCAAAAGCGGGTCTCGAACATCTCGCGAAGATTCTTGGAGCTCGTCTGTATCCCCACGGTATCCGCGTAAATGTTGTCGCACCGGGATCGTACCCAAGGTATTTCGACTGATGGCTACACCGTTGAGATGTTCCTGATGTATCCCGAAGTGACTCCAACCCGCCCGATAACCCCTATGCCATGTCCCACCACACAAACGACAAGCGTATTCCGCTCGGTCGCTCGGGTAAACCCGAGGACATTACTGGTACGTGACAAAGGCCACGAGGTTCCGTTGTTTCGACTGATGAGAGCTCCGTTCAGCCGCTATCATATTCTTCGCCAGTGCCGCTTCATCGTATATCACGGGGCAGTCGATTGACGTTGACGGAGGAGCTATGTTGGTCGCGAACGGCACAAATAAGATTGCACCCTAGATGATCGTAACGCGTAGAGATGCATCTGTTATTGTTTAGTAGAAACGAAAAATCGGAATCGAGTACGTACGTGTTGGAACTTGTGGCAGCTCCCGGCAGTTCGCGTGCAGAAAATAGTATAGTGTAGCAAGCTTCAAGAAGGTGCGAGTCCATGACTGGAGCGCCATTGGCAGCAAGGAGAGATCCAACCACTGGGTTCGTCTCACGAGGGTCGGACTGCTATACCGTAAACGTACTGGAGTACGTTCACAAGGCGTTCTCTTGCCAAGGCTCCCAAACTTGATAGGTGTAGCGGAACGATGAGAACCAACTTCTTCACATCAGTGCCCTTATTCACAAGACGACAATGTTAGAGTTGCAAGCCATCATCTGTGGGGTATCAATATATCAAATTCCATGGGATATTCGCTCGAAACACCAGGTCAATTCGTTATAACGAAGAAGCCCGACACGATCATCATCACCGAGTCGTCCACGATTGTGGGGTCGTTGGCTGCCTCATCTTGCTAATACCATAAGGACGTCCGATTGACCAGAACC